GAAGAAAGGAATTGGAGGAGAGATTGAGAGGAGGGACCTTCCCTGAGGTCACACGTCAGGCTCCACGCCAAGGCCAGGTATTTGTGCATCTAAAAAGGTGACCATTCCCAAAGCTCTTCAGAACAACAGGATCCGAGAGATATTTACGTGACTACACCTATCCTGTTCCACACAGCACACGCTCCACAGTGACGTGTTTGTTATCTCAATGCTTTAGTCAATCATGTTGCCCAACAGCCATGGGAGTGACCTGCTTACCCACATATACACGTACATTTAAGTGTGTGTGTGTGTGCGTGTATTGAGAATGTGAAAATCAAAAAAACCCACCCTAGTAGGTTTTGACATGAAAAATCAATCAGTGATGCACTAAGGGTAAAATATGCCAAAACATAATGAGTTTTTATAAAAAGTAATGAAAGCTAAAGGTAAACTTGAGACAGTAAAGCAGAACTAATTTTAAAGCACAAACAAAACAATTACGTAGAAGATGATCAGGGTACACAGTCCTAAGTCAAAAAAACGTAAGGAAAACCAGATGTAGGGCAAGGACAAGCTGTTGCTAGCTCAAGACAAAAAGGATGCTTTAGTCAACTTTCTATGAGGATAAATCCTTAAAAGCAAAATAGAGGGTGTGTATCTTAAGAATGTATCCCTACTTCGAGCAGAGACAGAAGAGCAAATTTGTGTGTAGCTCTGCTGAAGGTCAGACGCTATCGATAAAAATAAAACAAGCTGAAAGCAAATTAGTCACCGAGCTTCAGATATACTACTTCTAACTTAAAAACTCCTTTTCACTCCTACACTAGTGGGCTTTGAAAGAAATCCTGTGCATTAAAAAGGGAACAACAATGACTTCCACCCAAAAGAGAAAAGATGACTGCATTTATCAAAAACGTACTGGCTACTGGCATAAGCCTGAAGATCGGCAGGGATTTACTGCAGTTAAACAAATTGCAAATAGCAAGGGAAAAACCCCCTTCACCTCTTGCATAGAACAAAACCTAAAACTTAGAGTATCTTACTCTTTCTTGATGCATAAAGAAAGGTTTTAATCAAATGGAATAAGAATACCTGTTTTTAGAAAAATGAAATTTTGCAGAGTAAAATGAAAACTTGCTTTTACTGTCTTGTATTGGGAACTTAAAACTTCTGAACTGAGAGCTGAGCAGGAGCACCCTGCTACTGCTGCTCTTTACCCCGGGAAGCCTCTGATCTTGCGTTTAGGTAAAGGCCATTTACTGAAGCCTAACTTCCAACATACACACCATTTTAACAGAGGAATGGATAAATAAGATGGTTAAACAAGTGAAGGCTAAGAAAACAGACTTGGAGTAATGGAAAGATAAACACATCTGGCAGATAAACACCTCATTTTACAAAAAGATCTTTTATAAAAGTATTGTCATCCTTCACAAAATACTTAGGAGGTAGTTCTTATCTCCAGGTAGGACCTGACAAGTGTCTAACAGTTATGCATCATGATAAAGATCATATGGAGAAGTGGAGGCTCCTTTTCTCCTGATTTTGGAGGCAGCCATGCTCAGACTTCCCAGACTTCCGGACAGAGGCGTCTAGATACAATAACCTTTGTAGCACTTATTTAAAAAAAAAAAAAATCAGTTTGGCCAAAATCAAGAATTATTTTCTTTTTATTAGCTGCTCCATGAGGGACTCTATCTGCCACCTGCTTTGAAAATCTGCATTAGAATAAAAAGCATCCTGCAGCATTTGAATCACAGTATACTTGAGGTTGGAAGGGACCTCTGGAGATCACTGAGTCCAATGCCTCTGCCCAAAACAGGGTCAGCTACAGCAAGTTGCTCAGGATCGTGTCCAGTCAGGTTTTGTGCATCTCCAAAGATGTGGACTCCACAGTGGTTCCAGCATTACATCACCCTTATGGTAAAGAAGTTTTATGTTGAAATGCAATTTCCTATATTACACAGCACAGACATTCATCAGCTGGAAAGCCTGAGACTAGTCACTAATCCTTGCATCTGAAATACTACTACTCAGTGACCAGGCACAAAACCAACCCCTAACCTTGTGCGTGCACACATACACATGTTGCTACATGGAGAGACAGAAAGCAGATGTGACTCACCTTGTAATAATTAGTGCCTTTTTTTTTTTTTTAAAGCTATAACAACTTCAACCTTTTACAAATTCAATGTATCTGGGAAATTGCTACTGAAAAAAATATAGAATCATAGAATCATTAAGGTTGGAAAAGACCTCTAAGATCATCAAATCTAACTGTCAGCCCAATGCCACCACGACCACTAAACCATGTCCCAAAGGGCCATATCTACACATTTTTTGAACATCTCCAGGGATGGTGACTCCATCAGTTCCCTGGGCAGCCTTTTCCAATGTCTCATCACTCTTCCAGTAAAGAAATTTTTCCTAATATACAATTTATATCTCCTCTGGCACAACCTGAGCCCATTTCCTCTCATCCTATATATTTAAGCTACAGAGAATGTTTTTATACAAAATAAGCCTTACCAAGGTAAGCTTCATCTGTACTGAACTGATAAAGTGATACTTTGTACGACTTCAAATCCTTCACGATACTGTCATAACTACTTCTTGATTCAAATTCAGGCTGCAGAGAATTAGCACAGGACACAATTAAACAAAAAACTGTTCAAAATAAAAAAGGAGACATATTTAATCGTCCTGTCAGTTATCAAGATTTTTTAACATCTTTACAGTTTGTACTCGCCAGACTCGAAACGCCACAAATAATGGCTTTTAGAGCATCTTACCTGCCTGATTATTAACAGTCATAATCCCATACAGGTTTTGAAGATAATTGTCTGTAGAATACTATATACAGAACACCAAGAAGAAAAGAATGCAGGCTGTATTTTCAAGATAGAGTATTACACAATCTGACTTCCTGCTCCAGGACAATAACCTCATCTCTTGAATTTCTCAAAACTCAGATGTCAAAACTAGATACAGTAAACTACTGGCAATCTCAGTGCTGTAACGAGCAGCGCAATTGGTTCTGAACTATCAGATGTAGGAAACAGCTAATAAGGTTCTTGGAATTATCAGTGTAATGAGGTAAAAAATGTTAACTCTAAGTAAACCAAGAATGCATTACTAAAGGAACATTAAAGGTAAAGTTAGGAGCAGATATTCCTAGAAAGAAGCCACGATAATACTGCAGCAGCTGGAAGAAACTCAAGCTGCCAGAACTTTAGCTATGTACCTCAATGCAGTCAGAGTGAAGAGATGACTTGATTACTTCATATATCTATTTATTTAGACGTTGGAAGTGAGGGGTGCAGCTGTCAGCATCACAGACAAGCAAGTTGGAAGTCAAAAGCCACACAAATTTAGATTTTAAATCAGCAATTTCCTGTAAGCTAAACAGCAGACCACACTAGACAGAGACTCATCATAAGCAAGCCTAAGACCAGAAAAATCATATTTGGTTTTTCTTTTCCTATTTTGTGAAAAAAGGAAAGTGCATATATACCATGTAAGTGCTCAAGACTGAGGGTGAAGTGACTAGCCTTCCTCTTTTATGTAAAGGTGGAACAAGACTAAATTGACCAGTTTGTGGCTCTCAGGCTGTGAAGTCCCGCTCCCACACCAGGTCATGCTACAGTCCATGGTGGAAGCGTGCTTTTGGGAGGACAGTAGGATAATTCAAACCTTTCTGGGAGCAAGTAAGCTAACGAGGACAATGCCATCACCTTCAGGACTGGCATCAGATCATCCCGCATGCCAGGAACGGCTCAACCCCAAAAGCAAGCAGTGGCATCCTCTGAGGGCAAATGTCATCTCCTCTCAGCAAACCAGATGTCCCACTATGAGACGCGACCCAAGTTTTACAGCTGCAATTCATACGACCATTTTATCTGTGTGTTTTTCAGGATTGCATGGGAAGTTATTTTATTAAGTCAGGCCAGAATACAAGTTCTACATAACCATTTTTGAAAAACAAAACCACTTGCAGAGGACGGAGGCAAAGAAGGATAGGAACTGAAAATTAAAAGAGTTTAAAAAGTTTACACCCACATTCCCACCTAGTGTATCTTTTCTATTAAGGAAATATCTAAGAAAAAGAAATCAAAGGCTTTATATTAAATTTATCTCTTAATTTTTAACAGTTGAGGTCATAATTATTTTTCCAGACAGGATAGCAGCTGTATCAAAAAAATTTAAAAAAGCTACAGATTAGCTTCTGAAAAACACAACTCACCACCAGCTGAAGTAAGCTACCTACTGGAGAACAGTAACATTACTTGCAACATTATCACTGAGGGTTTGGAATACAAACACCCTAGAGCACACCAAAACCTAGCTTTTCCTGTTAGCAGAACTGTTGCTGTCTGCTCTTAAAAGCCAAGATTTAATTTGCACGTTTCCAAAATCCATAAGAAATGGTTTTTTTCCTGCAACACAATCACCAGTGGGCAATCATTACCACATTACATAATAACCTTAAGTAAGGGAAATTTGTATTTTACTCAAAACTCTTCATCACTATCCAGCTTCTAGAAGGGCCATAACCCATTACGGAGGTTTTAGTTTTGATATATTGCAAACATACACCAAGAAACAGAACAAGAGATAGCATCTAAATCATGCTGTATGAAAATAATACGGAATTACAAAACAAATCCACGAGATATTCCAAATAAGCGCCAATAAAAGGATAACACATCGCCCTTAGACGTGAAGTCAAATGCTCTTTCTGAGTGTTCCAAGAGCAGTTCTGAATACCTTTTTCTCCACAAGTACTTAACGATTTTGTTTTAACTTAGATAATCAGCTTAATAAGACTGGTTAAAGATTAAAGCACTCCAAGTCACGGAGAGCAATGGTTTCTTTACAGACTCCAACAACGCAAAACATGAATTCTACAGCATATGAATAGATTTAATCAATTTATTAGTACAGTGACCAAACAAACTGAAATACCACAAGATAACTAGGCTTTGGTCATTTTTTTTAATCTTTAAGAAAAAAATTACCTCTACGCAAAAGATCTTAAGATCAAGTCCACATAATTTCATCTTCTCCGGAAAATGCTTAAAAACATTAAAATATGGAATATGACCTTCAACAACAAACCTGCATTAAAAAAGGAATAGAAGAAAAAGATCAAATCAAAATAGTGTTTTGCATGACAAATGCATACATTTATTGATTTTATGATTCCATTCTAAAATTAATACACAAATCAACTTCTGATTTGAAATACCAGCAGCGTTATACTGCCTAAGCAATTCTACCTGAAGTTACACACCCCTAAATGCTCCGTAGGCCAAAAGACAGTTCAATCATTTAACAGGCTCAGTTCAAGCTCAGATATGATTGACAAATGATGATGTTAAGCAGGAAGCCTACAATCAACATGTTTACGTGAAGTTTGTTGTGCGCATTCTTTGGCTACTGCATTTCTCAAACTCTTTTAAGCCGCTTTTGAACACTATGGATTTTTTTTCCCAAAATTCTAAAGCTTTAATTAAGGTTTACTTTTAAAACACACACTTTGTGCTGGAGGAGTTTGAGTCAGGCAATGGGGAGTAAAGTCACAGCATGATGAGCAGACACACAAAACTGAAACTCCCATTAGTTACATCTGCATTCTAATTTTTTTTTAGAAAAGTATTATTCAGGTATGAATAGAAGTGATTCTGCATACTACTAAATACAAAATAATTTAATTTTTATTTGCACCCAAATAATGCATTTTTTATTAAAAACTAGCTTTGGCAAACAGCTAACAGTGTTGTTTGGGATTTTTCTTGACTTTTTCATATGTGTCCATATATATATGTACATACATATACACGTATACATGTATATATATGGATATATGTTTACACATAGGTGTATATATCTCTCCATATATATGTACATATATATATACATATATACATACATACATACACATATAGATGTGTAAGATGGGACTTAACAACAGATACCAGTAAAAAGCCACCTCCACACCAAACCCTTGCTCTTACCTATCATCTTAGCTGACGTTCACACCAGGCAAAGCAAGAACTGAACCAGCACAGATCCTCACAAGGGAACAGACACTACGCTCATTCCAGACTAGAGCATATTAGTGGTCTCCCACAGGACTAAGCTAGAACTGCCTTCCTGTTTCCACTTCTCCAAGACAGTTTTGCTAAGAGTACATTAAACCTGAGTAAGTTAACATTTCAGAGAAAACCTTGCTCTTTAAATAATACTAGAGATTTGAAAATAATTTTCTCTCCTGCCAGCTGTGATATCTGTACAGTATCTCTCTGGCCTTGCTACACAGATGAGTAACTTCTTGGTCTAAGAATTCTGCAAGTCCCTCCTGGGTTCCTCTAAGTGGTTGTAAGACTGGGCTCTGCACCTGCTCGGGATGCAGGGCGGTACCCAGCACACTTCGACTGCTGGAGAGATCCAACCCCACAAGCTGAAACACCGGGTTCCTCAAAGAGCACAGGAAGAAAATAAAAAAAAACCATATGGGAGAACAATCAAAGAATGTGCTGGCCTGGAAGGGACCTTTAAAGGTCACTAGTCCACCCCCTGCAGTGAGCAGGGACATCTTTAACCAGATCAGGTTGCTCAGAGCTCCCTCAAGCCTGACCTTGAATGCCTCCAGGGATGGGGCCTCCACCACCTCCCTGGGCAACTTGCTGCAGTGTTTCACCACCCTCATAGTGAAGAACTTCTTCCTGGTATCTAAATTCACCCTGCTCTAGTTTAAAACCATTGTCCCTTGTCCTGTCGCTACACACCCTTGTAAACAGCCCCTCCTCAGCTTTCCTGTAGCCCCCTCAGGCACTGGAAGGTCACTATAAGGTGTGTCCAGAGCCTTCTCTTCTCCAGCTGAAGAACCACAACTCTCTCAGCCTGTCCTCACGGCAGAGGAGCTCCAGCCCTTGGATCATTATTGTGGCCTCCTCCGGAACCACTCCAACAACTCCACGTCCTTCTTGTGTTGAGGGCTCTACAGACAGAGCAGCCACTGTTGAGGAGGATTCTCCTCCCTCCTGAGCCTACATTTGCCTTCCCTCTCCCAGTGCAGTGCCCTAATCACCACTTGTTGCACGTTATGTAGTGTGTATCTATTGACGCTGACTGTGACTCTATTTCTTTGCTTGTAACTGCAAAGTTTACATTTACACTAACTAAATTTTCAGTTTAATTAAAAAACAAAAGTAAAATTCTACCCAGGGTTAAAAAGAAAAGTGCATTTCTTAATCAAACCCCCCTGGGAGAATTAACCTATAATTTTAAATTTCTGGAAATAAACAGCAATCTGAAAAATTGCATTGCCCTATACTTTTTATTCTGAAGCTCTGTGTATTAGCCTCTTAAACAAAGAGGTAAAAATCCTTTCCAATCAAACGTGCAATGCACATTTTGCTAGCAAAATTTCAGTAGCTTTCCTCAACCAGTGTAAATAAAATTTCTGCACACCAAGCGGAGACATGGACTGGTCCACACACTCATTGAGGTTATCACCCAAATCCTGCACCAGTTGCTCATCTTTGCCATCCCACCTGATCTGCTGAGCAGCCTGAGCTTCGGCTCCGTCACTCCCTTGAGTCAAGGGCAGCTGCACTGAGCTGAAGAACTTGAACCCGAGGGACAGTTTCACAAAAGAGACTGGGCTGAATGTAACCAGTTGTACTTCCCTCCTCCTCGTCTGGCTGCCAGCTCCTGTTGCTCATCATTCTCTTCCACAAATGTAGCTCACAAGAGCAGCCAACGGCTACCCCGTTACCCGACTGCCAGAAAGAAGGGTTTCTCTCCCATCATCTAACCAGCCAAGGCAGTTCACAGATGGCTCACACAAGTGCAAGGGTTGGCAGAGGGAAGGGGATGCCTCACGCAGGCAGGAAGAGAGAAGAAAGGGCAGAAAGACCTTCCTCCTTCAGCAACAGCGACCCGTTCCCGGCTCGGCTGATGATAAGCTTTGGCTGACACGTGTTAAGGTGCAATCACGCAATTAGCTGTCAGATCCCAAGAGCCAAGGCACCAAGAGCAGCAACCTCCTGAGCCAGCAGAGTGGCAGCTGGGAGAGGGACAAACAATTAGGACCTTCCTTCGGGTGTGGTGTCGTGGTGATTGCAGCCAAACCACCCCAGCAGCTTGCTGCCTCTGAAATGGGAAATCCCACCCTCCCTTCAGTCCTCTGCCACACACTCCTCCCTGCTGACAAAAGCACTTGTGTGACTTCTCAGCCAGAGGATTAGATTGAAAACTAGTCCTTTGTTTTCTAGGGCTTGATTTCAACCAGACAGATTTCCAGACTCAGCTGACTGCACGAACATTACTGCCAGCACTCACTGCCGGCACACGGCAGAAAGGGACTGTCGTTGAGCAAATTAACCTGCGCTAAAATGTCTGGTGAAAGTTTCCTTTGCAAACTTAGTTTTCTGCAGCTCTATTTCTTTCAACTGATCCACCATAAAGTACATGCTAGAACCCAGAGCAGAAATGGTTATGCAGGGCCGCAGCAACAGAAGCTCAGATCAGCTTAAAGAGATGTTGGACCCACATCCTTAGGCTGCAAGAGATGAGCACTGTCCACCAGAACATTTTTTGGTTTGTGTTTTCTGGTTGTTGTTTGGCTTGGTTTTTTTAAATAGATGTTTTCCCTAACTTGGCTGTACCAAGTCAAAGCATTGCAACTGTTCAACAAATAATGACATCTCTCCTAGCTTGAAATTACTTTCTCCACACAAAAGAATGCTCCTCTCTTTCAGGTTAAGAGTTGTTTCTACATTCTAAAAATACAAGAACCAGCGGAAATACCCTGTTATGTATATTACGCACTGATGATTCTGGTTCTTAATGTTTTACTCCAAAAGCCCAGATTTGGAATAGCACTTCAGAACAGTTTCTTCTGTCTGCTGCTCTTCCAAACCTTGCATTTAAAGGACAGATGATCAGAACCCTTGCAAGACTGTGTTGTATCAGTTAAGTGCTGAAACCTTGACTGGCAGATGGAGTACACAGCCCATGTTCTTTTAATTACAGCAGCAGCATACGTTAATAAGGCCCAAGAATGAAAAAAATCCTAGGTCCTCTGCATGTTAGGAGGAAATGATGCATCTGTTAAAGCCACATAGTAATGCCACAAACTGATTACAAGTTCGGTCTTGCCAGCACAGCTAGGTATAACCTCATTTGAAAAGCATTAGTTCTCACAATCTCAAAGTCTAGCATCTCAAAAGTTTTTCCACAGGCCAATGATTTTATTACTTATTTAGATAAACAATATACAGCGTGTGGAGTACTGTGAGACTATTCGCAAGGGAAAAGGATTTCATGTGTTACATAGGCTTCAGTAGAACGTTGTTAAGAATGTTATTTTTAAACCAAAATGTCCCTGCCAGAGGAGGTAATTGTAGTGTTTTTCTGGTAAGTGTGTCAAGTAGGAAGGAGGGGTATATTTTTGGTGTTGTAAATCCTTTAAAAGCTGGCAGACTGCCCTACCACAGTGCCTAAGCATGTATCACAAGGGAGGAGGCAGTAGTCAGCTGACTTCAGTGTAGGGAGAAAACCAAACTGAAGAAAAAAACAAGGCAGAGCTTTAAGTACAACTGTAACTCAGGTGGTTTAAATAAAACAATTTGCCTATAAAAATGATAAAAGGTAATGTTGAATACTTAATGGTTTCTCTGCATAGTTTTTGTCTCTAGTCTGTCGCTATTTTAATCCGTGTCTTAATGCATGCAAAAATGTGAACACTGTCTGATTTTTTAAACTTCAATATGCAGAAGACAGAAAGTAAGTATTTTATGACAGTTCACGCAATCTAAAATTCCTTCCCCTTCTTAATCAAACTTGTGAACGGGAAAGACCTTAGGGGTAGGGAGGGAAGCATGATAATGTAATTAAGGTCTTATATAACTAGCGTATCATGGTAAAACTTTGCAACACAAATAACATTCTTTTAAACATCACTTTCCGTATCTAATTCAGTTCATATGTACAGTGCATTTAAACTCACTGGATCATTCTGATTTACCCACTTTTAGAAGTGGTACACCCATACCCTGTATCTAATTAAATTATGTTCTCATTCAAATCAGCCTATTTCAATTTCCCATTATTAGTGTCTGATTATGCCTTTCTGTGCTATACTTGGTGCTTGATTTTTTTCCCTGCTCTTCCATTTTTTTACTGTTTTCATGTTTCCTCAAAATCCTTTCAAGCAAATGTGTTTATCTCCTAAGGATTGCAGTACAGAAGATGTTCTCCAGGTTCTGAATAATTTTTTGCAATCCTCAATTTTTAAAGTGTCAAATACAAGAACATACCATTAATATGCCAACAACACAATCTACTTCTCCTCTTAATAGTTGACTTTGACAGCTGGTTTTTGTGGGCTTTTTGTTGTTGTTGTTCTGTTGTTTTTCAAACCACACAACTGTACTAAGATATATCCTTTTGAGAATGGATTTGCCTCGCGTGACCCCATATGCTTTCCAGAGACAGTAACCAAAGAACAGATACTTAATTATCCATTTTTCACTCCAAATAGGACAGGCTAAGCAATAATTCTTCACTGCGAACCATTTGCTCTGTCCCAGTAATTGTAATTTACTACTTGGATTTTTGCCATATGCAAACATTATCAGACAAGATTTATATATTTAATTCCAAATCACTAACAAAAATACAGAGCACACTATGGCAGTTCTTAGGAAGACTGTAGTCAGTAATAAATCTTGGTATCAGGAACAACTTTTGAGTTCTACTATTTCTTAACCTACTCAATAAATACTTCCATATAGCAGGATGCTAGTTTGAATTCTGAACGCCGTGGCA